GTTGGGGCTACACCACAGTACCAGCTGCTCAACCTCCCGTCTGTAGGCTGACTCGTCATCGTCTCGTATAAGACCAATGACCGTTGTGTCGTCAGTAAACTTTAGGAGCTTGACAGAGGGGTCCTTCGAGATGCAGTCGTTGGTGTAGAGTGAAAACAGCAGAGGGGAGAGCACACATCCCTGGGGGGCACCTGTGCTTATTGTCCAAGTGCTGGGTGTGGTTTTCCCCAGCCTCACCTGCTGCTTCCTGTCTGTCAGAAAGCTAGTAATCCACTGACAGGTGGGGGCAGGCACAGTGAGCTGGGTCAGTTTGGAGTGGAGGATGTCTGGGATGATGGTGTTGAACGCTGAGCTGAAGTTCACAAAGAGGGCCTGTGGATAGGTCCCTGGAGAGTCGAGGTGTTGCAGGATGTAATGCAGTGCTATGTTCACTGCATCATCCACTGACCTGTTTGCCCAGTAGGCAAACTGCAGGGGGTCTAGCAAGGGGTCCACGATGTCCTTCAGGTGGGCCAACACCAGTCTTTCAAAGTACTTCATAACTACAGATGTCAGGGCAACGGGTCTGTAGTCGTTCAGCCCACTGATGGAGGGTTTCTTGGGGACTGGAATGATGGTGGAGCGTTTGAAGCAGGAAGGGACATCACACAGCTCCAGTGACCTGTTGAAGATGAGTGTGAAGATGGGGGCCAGCTGATCAGTGCACACTTTCAAGCAGGAGGGGGTCACACCATCTGGGCCTGGGGCCTTTCTGATCTTTTGTCTTTTAAAGAGGCCACGCACATCCTTTCCACAGATCGTTAGAGGTGGGGGGCTGGAGGGAAGGGTGGTGATTGTGGGGCAGCAGCTGCTGGATCTGAGGTGGTGAGGGTGAGGGGGGAGTGTTGCACAAGACCAAGAAAACAAAGAAAAACAACAAACAAGAGAGCGTGAGTGACCACGGCCACCATCGCTGTCGGTGCCGGAAGTTAAAAAAAAGTTATCTAATAACATGACAAAAATAAATAAAATACAGCACACTCATCGGAGATGCTATTTGTTTATAGACAAAATCCATTCTCCGTTCTTTGTTTAGGAAGACTTCAATGACTGTCATTAGAGGTGATCTCTGCGTTTCAGTTCCATCAGTAAGTCCTTTTCTATAGCCATGGAGCCCAAGGCTACGAGTCGACTCTGTCCATCGTATTCCTCGCATACGTTTTTATTCTCTTGAGGGCAGAGAATGTTCGCTCGACAGTTGCAGTGGATATAGGGACAGTCACGGTCAGACATGCCAATCTGTACAGCTGGGCTGAGACAAACTAGCTAGCTAGCTTTGGGGTTGGCTGACCTCCTGTCACAATGTCTAGCTTTTCTGGAAAAGTCCACATTGAATATGGATTTTTAAGTATGTCCGACACCAAGTCAAGTTCTCCTCCTCTGTCAACCATTGTGAGCATAAAAAATTCTAACTCAAATGTATTAATGTGTGCAGATCGCTACAGACGTGTTTTGCTAGTTGAACTTGACTGTAACAGTTTTGCTCTGACCAACCAATCAGAGGACGGAAAAATGCTGACGTCATTGTAGGCCAGCTAACTGGCCCTGTGAGGCAAATTTGAAATCTGATTGGTTAAAGAAACAGTCCCATTGCTAATATAGTTTAGGTTACATGGGCCAGCACTTCTGATTCTGAAGGCCCTGGGCAGATTAGATTGACATGGCAACACATAGAGGCTGAAATCTGATTGGACAAAAAAATCTAACATCCACATACACGTACTGGAAGCGGTGCAGCCAAGAGAAATACTACGAAATGAAGAGAACAGACTGTTGGGAATAAATTAATACAATTTCATGGAACAAATATTAGAATTTTGGTTGTAAATGTAGGTCAGTGCTTCTAAAAGTGTTTAGGCCAGCAGAGAAGGCCTTGCTGGCCCTGACGGCCCGCCACTGGTGTCAACAGGATCAATGTCAAAAACAAACTCTGTTTCATGTTAGATTAAGTTCTTGGCACAAGAGCACTCCTCTCAACACTCTGTCCTCCTCAGTTAGAATGGATTAAAATGCTCCTACTCAATGTCTGTTGTTATAATGACAGTGTGTAGATGAGACCCACTACAATGGTGTCGTACGACACCATTGTAGTGGGTCTCATCTCAGACAATGATGAGACTCAATACAAAGAGGAGATCCAGCACCTGACAAGGTGGTGTTCAGATAACAATCTTGTCCTGAACACCAACAAGACTAAGGAGGTCATTGTGGATTATAGGAGGTCCAGGAAGACAAAACATGCTCCTCTTCTCATACA